GACTGCATAGACATGTACATGTACATACCGTATTTCCTCGAATAAGGGCCCTACTCAAATAAAGGTCTATCACTAATATACGTATATTACCACTATAGATATGCATATTAGACCCAGTATTATGTGCCCTTGTGGTTAGAGTAGTCCAAATAGCCTAATTGTTCATCCTCAGTCTTGAGAACATAAAGTCGTGGGTTTGAGCCCGGGTTTTGGAAAATTTTTAACTTTCATTTTCGTGATTTTTGCCTCTGTTAAGCAATAAATGCCCAGGCCCTTATACGAGGAAATACAGTACTTGTTCCCAAAGGTCAAGATTACACCATTAGCTATTAGTAAACATGGAGAGTGTTTAATAACATTATTAATAACCTGTTTTATCAATGAAGCAGCTGCTTATACCTTACATCACAGACTATTTTGAAAACACTACGGTTAAACTATAGTTCAACCCAAACAGTCACATTATACATGTCGTACATGAAAGATACGATATCAATTAGAACACGGTACAGAGTATTTCTCTAATTTCCTTTCCCAGTCACCTTGTCTGGATGATAGTATCCATTCTGAAAGGTACAGTTCTGCTCTGTAGTGATAATGCAGTCACCTGATATCCCAATGCAGCAAGGATGGAGGGTAACGTCACACAGGCCACCAGAGTTTAGGGACTCGTTGAGACACGTGCTTGGACCTCCTAGAACCTCATTTGAGCAACCATCACCCTCTTCAAGACAACTGAGAGAGAGAAAGGGGGAGGGAGAGTGAGAGAGAGAGAGGGAGGGAGGGGGAGGGAGGGAAAGAGAGAGAGAGAGGGAGGGAGGGAGAGAGAGGAAGAGAGAGAGAGAGAGGGAGGGAGAGAGTGAGTGAAAGAGAGGAAAAGAAAAGACCATTTCCCATATAAATACACATAATGTATACACAAAACCACAAATGCCAGAGTAGCACTACATTAATTACATTTCCTACCTTGAGAGTGGGAGCATGCCACATTCACTGTAGCCACAAGAGCCAGCATAACAGCAACGAAGTCTTAGCTCATCGTTACGCCTTTTAGCAGCTTCAACTCTAAACTGAACGTTATTACGCATACACTACAGGGAAGGAATGGAGGAGAAAGAAAAATAACATAAAAAATTCAAAAAGGAAGCTACATTACATGTAGGACAAGAGAGAGA